AATTAGGTAATTCCAAAGGTATGTATTTGTAACTTGAATTTTTTTTTAAGAAGAGAGACCAACAGTTTAGTATTTTCATTGAAGAGGGAGTTTTCGAAAAAGTTCCATTTGGTCAGAAATGTAGCATTGGCAACAGCTGCCCTATAAGAAGATCAGGCCTGACTTGAGAATACTGGGCACTTTCCTACGGCGTGAGCAATTCTGTTTGTTCTGCCTTTTAATATTTAAAGAGCCTTCTCATCTACAGTTTAGGTCAGGGCTCAAGACACATTAACACATGTATAATTCTGGCCACACTCAAGAACCACATCCACTAAATGACAGGGGAGGTGAAACAGTGCGCTTTCTATCTTCAGATCAATGGTAAACCCTGTCTACTCTAAAAACCCAGAAATACAAACCACCTGACCTCCATTATGAGGACTGGTTATTGGCCACTTGTCTGCCAGAATATACTTACAGGGCCTCTGTGGAAGAAGAGTGGCAAGGGAAGATACACGCATAGCCACGCGTGTCTGAACTCAGTGACTGGAGGTTCTGTGAAGTTTTATCTTCCAGCTGTTTCACTCATGAGAAATATGCTTTTCTGAGTTTGGCAGCAGAGATTGAGCGCAATCATCTGTGTAAAACAACTGGCTTCCAGGGTCCTGCATTCCCTGTACTACCTGCTCTTCCTTTTCCTCCAACTTTCTTTTTTCTTGAATCTAGACTTTTCCGTTAGCATAATTCTTCCTCAAGAGTCTAACAAATGTCCTTTTTAGTCCCTCTTTTTTGGGGGGTGAAAAGAAGTCTTTGTTATTCATTGTACCATTTCAAAAACTAAGCTTCTCTCATACCTCAAAAACAGCTTTATTTTTAGGACAAAAAATTCACCAAGCTCCCCCCAAAGTCTTTTCAGGCAGAATCCTTAGAGAAGGCAGGTGCCTTTGGCTAAATTATCTCTACTCACAAACCATTCACATACATTTGCTTTAAGAAAAAAAAAACCACTACATGTCAATAGTTTGATTCCATTTTGTCTATGCAAATACCATTGATAAAAATTTCAATGGAAGTTTTCAGGGAGTGGAAGAGTTCCAAACTAGGTATTGAAAAGGGGACTCAGGCATAGGATACTAATTCACCAAACTTGCCAAGAATGATCTAACCCAGTAGCCATTCAAAGGCAACTGCAAACCATCTACATGATCCCAGATAATCCCTTATACTGTATCTCTCGGATCTCATCTCCACTCTGCAGTTTACTGCATGAGGCTTCATTTGGGGCTCCAGGTTTCCCATTGCAAAAAAAGGGGGCAACTTTGTCATGCTAAATTTGCTGCATGTGAACCGAGCACTGAGCACTTGGCGAGGCAACCAGCTCCAGGAATGTTAACGACTGGAATAAACCTTTAAGAAGCGTTTCTAAAATGCACTTATTTGATACTGTTGTTCAGTTGCTGAAATTCTTTCCCCCTCACAGTGGCCACAGTGGTGCTGTGAGAAAAGGTGATCACACCAAAGTATGTGAAAGGCTGGTTGGTACTAAAAAGCAGGAGGCACCCCTCTCTCAGCCGAGGCTAAAATTCCCCTTGTAACCTTATTATTATTTTGCACAAATATCATAGGTCTCTTTTACGAAATACTACTCAGTGGTTTAAATTTCTTACTGAGGCCTCTCCTACCACTGAAATGCACCAAAATGCCCATCAATCTCGCCATTGCCAGACCACGTTAGAACTGGGAACAGTGACAAGTTACAGGGACTCTCTCTCCTTTTTAATCAATTCCAGAAGATTAGTATGATGCATTTTTTAGATATAGACCCTCAGAACATTATAAACTTACTGAAGAAGCCAAACTGGAATATCTCAAGTTTGGGAGATGAACAATATTTTGATGTGCCAAGGCTAATACATTATATGTTTCGAGTCTTACTATTAAGACCTGTAGCAACTGTTTTAAGAGATGAGTAGGAATGGAACAAATGGTAAATGTTTATTCAGTCATACAGTTCTGAAAGAAAACAACTGTTAATTTGCATTAGCTTGGGATCACTTAGCAGACTGCTTTTTTAAGAGCTATCACCTCTCAGCAGCCCATAAAAGGGGGAGCTTTCATTCGGTTCCCTCCTACCTTCTCTTGCTACATGGCACTTAATTTGAATTTATTTTTTACTCATCACCGATATTGCACAAATCAAAAATCACTTCAAAATAGATACTGTTCTCTGTCAGTTCATTTGTGCAGGAGGAAGTCAACAGGCTGAAAAACTTGGGGGTCCATGCAGACAGACGCAGCCTCTGCTCCATCTTCCAGTATAGAAAATTTTAGAATGATAAAACTTAAGGTACCTTCTGAGTTATCAAACAAACTACATTTCATATAATTTTAGTGCATTCAGGACAGTTATTCCACATAAATGAAAGTTAAATGTCCTCTCTGTGGGCAACAGAATGTAAGCCATTTAAATGTAGGTGAACCTTTTTGTAGAGAGTAGTATCCTCTGATTTCCCTGTTAATTAGCCCATAGAAGGTAAAGAGAAAAGGAGGGTAGTTAATTGGGGAGAGGGGACTGTGTCTCAGGGATTCTGTACAGTCTTTGGTCTTCCAGCAACCTCAGAACTTGCAACATAAGATGGGATTTCTAGGGCATCTCCACTTCGCGGTCTCAAGATTTTATGAGACTTTAGAAAAGCTGACTTGAGCAGAAAATCAGTTATAGGGTGTTTTTTCAGAAAGCAAGACCATTTATCCTGGGCTAAAAGAGAAAAAAGATCTTAAGGAGGTTGAGGGTACAAAGAAGAAAAAAAAAAGGCTCGAATTAGGTAAGTGATTGGAACATCTTGGTACCTGAAGTGAGAAGGGGGACAAAGAAAGTCTCCCACAGCTGCACCCCAGGGTGCACGGGGTGAAGGTGGGGGGTGTCATGACAGGGCAACCGAGGAGGAAAGGAAGAGGCAATCAGATCTCGGCTTCTTCATCGGGGGTCAGCTCAGCTTGCAGGGGTCTTTGTTCCCATGAGTCAGCAAAGTGACGTGGAACAAGAAATGTACTGTGTTTCAGAACCCAGGTCAGAAACTGGATCTGCAACAAATCTATCCCTAAGAAAGCACTGCATGAGATGGCCCAGTGATAGAAACTTCTTCATAAGGGTCACCCACATACCCAACCCAGCTACAGTGAATGTTGACTTGCTGCGGAGTGTAAGCTTCCAATTGCAATTTCAGCCAAAATGTGCTGGCGAAAAGCTACTAATACAGTGCCTTCCAGCATCTATGCTTCTCTTTCTAAGGCACTATGGCAACTGGACACTTAGATTTAAAGCTCAGGGAGCTATCCAGTTCTGAGTTTATTTTTGCCTCAAGATTTCCACTCTGAGCCTCCACTTTGTTGCTTCCTTCTACTTCTATTTGATTTCTAGTTGGGGACTAGTGTTTTCCCTGCCTGCTTAGCAGGGCCTGAAAGGTGACACAAAACACAAGAGAGGTGAGGGGGGAAGCTCCTTCTTCTGCATTCTTATGCTGCAATAGGAATCCTTTCTTATCCTGGGCTCCATCAAAGGATCTTAAATTTCACTGTTGTTCTTGATGGGAAGAAACCATTCTTTTTGCTTGCAACTTTGTATGTGCATACATTCTCTACTGCCACTAAATTGCAACATGCAATTAGAATGAAGAGGGCCGGTGGTCGGACTAACTATGGAACCCTCCCCAAAGGTGGCACTGGCACTGTTAAAAGAGTATCTTTTCAGGAGCACATGTGCATTCCCATATTAAAAAATGGGGTGAATTTCATCTCAAACAAATCTGCCTGTTTTAAATCCATTAGATATATATATATACATACACACACACACACACATATGTGTGTGTATACACATATAGTGTATATGTGTTTTGAACAATAAAATAGGAAAAAATAAAGTTTTTGGTAAAAGTGAATGCAAAGGACACTTGATGAAGTAGTCAAAATATTTGTTTTTGTGGCTATGATCTAAGGTTTAAAATACCTAAGTAAATTAGAATGGGTTTTCCTTATCCAGTGCAAACACATGAATTTTAGAGGTCTCTTTTATGTATTTTAATGTCATGGGACAGATAAATAAAAAATAAAAATGAAAGTTTTGGCATCTTATATTAGCAGAAGGTCAAGTGCTTTTTCTTGTTCTGCTATTGACATGTTTTTTTCTTTGTTTTAACATTTAAATCGTCCACATAACCACGGCTCCAATTACTGGTCTCCGCGGCTTTTCCCCAATTAGTTTCCTAGGTCCCTATCTCCCTTTCCACCAGCTGGGTTATCAGGCTGGACCTTTCCAATAGCAGAGCTGTGAATCTTTAAAAATTTTGGAGCTGGTGACACAGGAAGTGAAAATGAGAAGAGATGTTTGAACTGGCTAAACAGCTAACGTTCTGAAGCTGTCTTTACTTGGAACGAGGACAGCTGGCACTGCTTCCCTCTCCTGCAGACTGAGTTCAAGCCGTCACTGGGGTGCTCCCAACGTCCCCCGAGCCCTCGCCCTCACCTTCATGCAGGACACAGACTGCGATTTCCTTGAGGGAAGGATTCACATTCACCCTTGGGTGCCTGGGACATAGCAAATGCTAAATAAGAATTTTGTTGAATAATAAACATAGCAATCCTAGCTCTGACACCAATGAATTAATCTTGGACAAGTCCCTTTATCTTTCTGAGCATTTGCTTTCCAATCCATTAAAATGCTTTCAGTTTCCTAGAGGAATGGTTAGGCTCAAACAAAATAATGAGTGTGGAAGTGCTGTATAAATGCAATAGATTGCTACAGCTGTTGTTAATAATTACCATTTGGATTTATGCAATAAAAACTTCACTATTCAACAGGAGGGACAAGGGTGGTTTCTAAATGTCTCAACATTTTTTCCCCCATAAGAAGCTCATAAAAATGTAGTTTTCTTAGAATTCTAAGATGTCAGGCCACACCCACACAGTCTTTCTGTGTTTTGTTTATTTGTTTTTCCCCTGTCTCCTGTGCCCTTTGCCCCTCAGGCCCCGACTCCAAATCAACACACAGATCTTTTCCAGGCTCTGGATCCTGCTCTGGAAGGACAGGCTGCGGTGGCTGGGCTCAGGCATTGCATACACAGGCGTGTTCGCTGTGGCAGTGCACTTCTGCAGAAGGCGCCCTGGCCAAGCTGAGAGGTGGGCTTCTGCGAGGGGCCCGAAGGGCTGGTGGGGCCCGATCAGTGCGTGCAGCGTCCTCCACCGCCAGCACCCACGCTCCCCGACTCCCCGCTCCTTCACATCGCCTGTGCCCCTCTGCTCGGCTGCCCGGTGAGAGGAGAAAGTTAAAATGAAGAAAGAACACTGGATACATGTAAACAACCTCTCCAGGGTTGTGTGAGAGCCACCAAGCTGGACCTAACAAAAGACACAGAATCTACCTTAAAAAAACAACAACAAAACAAAACAAGAAAACACAAGGACAGCTATTCGAGTATTGAAGTAATAGCTCCTCATTCCTTATGGTCAGACACGGGCAACAGAGGACTCGCTGGGTTCAGACTGAATGGTGCCTGAGACTTGGTGAGACAGCGTTTATCTAGTATTGAATGAGTAATTTCCACAGACAGCTGAACTATTTGAGAAGCTAAACAAGTAACTGAAACTTCAGAAACCCTGCTGAGCGTAAGTGCTACATGAGCCACATGTCCCCAGTTCTCCCAAAGCACAAAGGCACCGCAGGTAAGTCCAGTGTGGGGGATTATTTTTAAGGCAGTAGAGCAATACAAACACATTGTTTGCTCTTGGTCATCTGGTTTGTCTTAATCAAGAACTAAAAATTCATTTATAATGCTGTATACAAATGCCATGTTTTTATCAGTATCATATGCTGCTTGCTTGAAATCGTATACATTACAATTAAGAACAGAAATTCAAGTTAATGGTCAAAGACAACCAATAACAAAACCACTAAATTCCAGTTGTCAAACATCATTTCGTATGTATATTACTGTTGTCCTTAAAAAAGAGTAATTATTAAAACTAAAGCTATAGGAGCGAGTGTTTATGACTTCCTATTGAAAAGCCCAAATTACAGAGCATTCATTTCGGGTTGAAGAAAGTCGTGTGGCCGTCCCTGTGCAGTGGCCTCGTGACTTTATATCCTCTTGTCAAACCTCAGCAGTTTTATTTGTGGTGATGCATGCCGGAGGAGGTTGGAGGTTAAAGTTGATAGGAGGGGCAACAGGAAAATCAGCCGAGTCCTTCCAAGAGATTACAACCTTTAACATACTTGGGCCTGTCGGCAGTTTCTGCCAGCTTTACGAGTCTGTGGCTGGGGGTGTCTTTAAAAACCGATTCTCAAATCAGAGGTCAGTTGGATCCAGTAAATGCCCTCTTACTTTGAAATCATCCTAAATGGTTAATGTAGCCACAGTTTATTGCTGTAGGATTCAGTTTGTACTTAAATCTAAAAAATCTGCTTATTTTTCAAGTATCTGAGACCTCGGAAGGTGAAATGACTAACCTCCAATTCATGCATGGCTCCACAAACAGGGAAGCGGCTGTTGGAAGAGAAAAAAGAAAAAGAAAAAAGAAAAAAAACCCAGAAAAAACCCCACCAGTTCCTGCTGGATACAACTTTTGTTCGGGGTCCCGGACAAGCAGACATTTCAGTAGTGCATTGGCTCCGCCCCCAGCAGGCGTCCAGATTGTAGCTGCCTCACACTGAACAGAGGGAGGTACCTGACTGCAGCCTGGGTGCCAGAGCAGGGGACCACAACACAGTCACCAGCTAAGACTCAACAATGACCGCAGAAACATCTCACTGCAGTATCTGTATTCCTAAAAACGTCACACGCTGGTTTCCTTATAGGTCGTCTCAGTATTCAGCACTGCTGGTTACCTTTGATCAAATGTGTATTTTGGGTCAGGCACTGTATACACCCGGGCTCACTAAATCCTCATAAGAATCCAAAAAGTTCTAATTTTACAGATGAGTAAAAAGAAGAGAGAGAGAAATTAAGCATTGTGCTGGAAGCCACACTGATAGTGCGCAGCCAGATGGGAATCAACTTAGCCCTTCACCCCTCCAAACCTGTGCCCTTTCTACTCATCTGTGCTGCTTCTTGGGTTGTAACTAATGATGCAAATAATTTCTAGACTATCCCCCCTCCATGCTTAAAATTTTCAAATCATTATTAGCTGGTTTTAATGCACAGCATGGTACTACACAGCAGCAAGGAAACAAGATTCAGCATGAAACATCCTTGGGTCCTGTATTGGATCACCATGTGGTTAGAATTGGGGTCTAATGATATCATTGGATGTTACTAATTGTTAATAAAATGTTTCAGTATTTAAATAGTTCTCTATGTCAAGGTGATTGACAGCAGTTTTATAGTGCTAACCACTTGTGAAATTAAAATGATTCCAACCATAAACATTAACTCCATTCCTTTCTGTTTTTGAATGTTTTGCCTGACTCACAGATTATAGAATTTGATGCTGAGTGGCTTGATCTCAATGGGTCTCAGTTTCCTCAGACATAAAGTAAGGTTATATCTCTGGGAGGTCTTGGCTCTTAAAAAGTTTATCAGTATAAAATATTTTTTAAATTCCCTGATTAATTCTAGTGATTATAAAGTTTTTTTTCCCTTTCTTTTTCAAGAAAATAGACACTGACCTTTATGAATAAAAGAAGGGAAAACACAACCTTGAAAAAAAGTCACAGACAAATGAGGGTGTGGAGTGAATGGAATCCCTGGGCCCCTAAAGCCACACATCAGCTGCCTCTCTTTTTGCAAACTCTGGTAACTGCACACAAGTGCTTTAAAAATACATTGATTTAGTAATGACCTGAAAGGCAAACTATTTCCTCACCCAGAGATGTTTGTCACTAAAGTTATGAGAACTGCTAACTTTCATTTAGAGAGGTAATATAACAAACATTTCCCAAACATTACTACTCAGTGGTTAAGGCGAGGAAACACAGGTTATTTGAAACATTTTTAAAAAATGCACTGACTGCTAAAAAACTACCAACATTTTCAAGATGTGTTTGTTATTAAGAAGACATTCCATAAACATTTCTGGTAGAAAATCTTCCAGCTCTTTATAGTGCCTTGCATTCCTTTACTCATAAAGCGTCTAAATGTGCATGCATATACATGTGCAATATGCAGATAACAAACAATTTTGTTTGTAGTTGTTGCTACTTGACATAGACTAGGCATTAAGGGAAAGAACACAGGACACCAGATTAGAAGTCGTCAGTTCAAGCCTCTGAAAATAAGTTAGACACTAAAGAGGCCACTATTTTATTTTATTTTATTTTATTAATTAATTAATTTATTTTTGACTGATTTGATACATTTTAGTATCACAAAATGATTATCATCATGACTTTAGCTACTATCTCCACCATGTCACATAATTACCATTTCATTTTTGTGGGGAGAACATGCACAGTCTATTCATTTAGCAACTTTTAAGCTTATAATATGTATTATCTATAATCACCATACTGTACAATAGATCTACAGAATTGATTAATCTTTTTATATGTACTTTTTGAAATATAAAATATTTTATTTTGCTTATTATTTTATTGTTAGTTATTCTATTACAGTTGTCCCTATTTTTCCCCCTTTACGCTCCTCTGCCCAGCCTACCCCCAGCTCCTATAGTCAATCCCTGCCCAGCTGCCATGTCCATGGGTCATTCATACATGTTCTTTCACTAGTCCCTTCCTCTCTTTTTGCCTGTTACCCTCCTCCTCCCTCCCCTCTGGCCACTGCCAATGTGTTCCATGTTCTAATGTCTCTGGTTCTATTTTGCTCATTAGTTTATTTTGTTCATTAGATTCCTCTTATAAGTGAGATCATATGGTTTTATCAACTGGCTAATTTCACTTATCATAGTAGTCTCCAGTTCTATCTGTGCTGTTGCAAAAGGTAGTTCTTTCTTTCTTTCTGTTGTGTAGTATTCCATTGTGTAAATATCTCAGTTTTTTGACGCACTTATTTACTGATGGGCACTTAGGCTGTTTCCAGCACTTGGCTATTATGAATTGTGCTGCTATGAACATTGGGGTGCACAGGTTCTTTTGAATTTCTGTTTTGGTATTCTTAAGATATATTCTCAGCAGTAGAATCATTGGGTCAAAGGGCAAATCCATTTTTCATTTTTTGAGGAAATTCCATACTGTTGTCCACAGTGGCTGCACCAGCCTGCATTCCCAGCAACAGCGCACTAGGGTTCCTCTTTCTCCACAGCCTTGCCAGCACTTGTGGTTTGCAGATTTATTACTGATGGCCATTCTGACTGATGTGAGGTGATACCTCACTGTGGTTTTAATTTGTATCTCTCTGATGGTAGTGATGTTGAGCATGTTTTCAGATGTCTATGGGCCATCTGTTTGTCCTGCTTGGAGAAGTGTCTATTCAGGTCCTTTGTCCATTTTTAATTGGACTGTTTGTCTTCATGGTATTGAGTCATATGAGTTCTTTATATATTCTGGAGATTAAACCCTTGTCTGATGTATTATTGGAAAATAGGTTTTCCCATATGGTTGGTTCCCTTTTAATTTTAATGATGGTTTCTTTAGTCATGCAGAAGCTTTTTAATTTGATGTAGTCCCATTTTTTTCCTTTATTCCCCCTGTCCTAGGAGATATATGGCCAAAAACATTGCTAAGTGGGATATCTGAAATTTTACTGCCTATGTTTTCTGCTAGGCCTTTTTGGTATCCTGACTTATATTTAAGTGTTTTATTCATTTTGAGTTTATTCTGTTGTTTGGTGTAAGATCATGGTCTAGTTTCATTTTTTTTTGCATGTACCAGTCTAGTTCTCCCAAAACCATTTATTGAAGAGACTATTTTTACTCCATTTTATGCTCCTGCCCCATTTATCAAATATTAATTGAACATAGAGACATGGATTTATTTATGGGCTCTCTATTCTGTTCCATTGATCTATGTGGCTGTTCTTATGCCAGTACCGGGCTGTTTTGATTACAGTGGACTTGGAGTATAGTTTTGTATCAGGTATTATGATCCCTCCAACTTTATTCTTCTTTCTCAAGATTACTGAGGCTATTAGGAGTATTTTTTGGTTTCATATAAATTTTTGGAGTATTGTTCTAGATCAGTGAAATATGCCATTGGTATTTTAATAGGATTGCATTGAATCTATAGATTGTTTTGGATAGTATGGATACTTTGATGATGTTAATTCTTTCAATCCATTAATGCAGTATATGCTTCTGTTTATTTGTATCTTCCTCAATTTGTTTCTTCAGTGTTGTATAGTTTTCTGAGTACAGGTCTTTTACCTTCTTGGTTAAATTTATTCCTAGGTACTTTATTTTTCTTGTTGCTATAGTAAATGAGATTTTTTCCTATTTTCTCTTTCTGGTATTTCATTCTTGATGTACAAAAATGCCATTGGTTTCTGGATATTGACTTAGTATCCCGCTACTTTGGCAAATTCACTTATTAGGTTGAGTAATTTTTTGGTTGAGACTGTAGGTTGCCTATGTACATGGCCATATCATCTGTAAATAAAGTTTTACTTCTCCTCCTTTCCAATTTTCATGCCCTTTATTTCTTTTTCTTGTCTGATCACTGTGACCAGAACTTCCAATACTATGTTGAGTGAAAGTAGTGAAAGCAGATACCTTTGTCATGTTCCTGATCTTAGGGGGAAAACTTTCAGTTTTTGCCCATTGAGTATGGTATTGGCCGTAGGTTTCTCATATATGGCCTTTATTATGTTGAGGAATGCGCCCTCTTCCTGTTTTGCGGAGTGTTTTTATCATAAGTGAATGCTGGATTTTATCAAGTGTTTTTTCAGCATCTTTTGATATGATCATGTGGTCTTGTCCTTCATTTTGTTTATGTGGTGTATTGTGTTCCTTGATTTTTTTTTTATTGATGATAACTTTTATTTATTTATTTATTTTTTATAATAAATTTTATTTAGTTACTTTTCTTTTTTTTAATATTAAATTTTATTTAGTTACTTTTCTTTTTTCCTTCTTTTCTCAAACCCTCCCCTTTTCCTTGTTCTTCCCTCTCTCGTTCTTGATTGTGAATTCTGTGCCATCCTTGCACCCCTGGGATAAATCCCACTTGATCATGGTGTATGATCTTTTTAATGTACTGCTTTATTTGGATTGCCAATATTTTGTTGAGGACTTTTGCATCTATGTTCATCAGGAATATTGGCCTAGAATTTTCTTTCCTTGTTGTGTCTTTACCTGGTTTTGGAATTAGTGTAATATTGGCCTCATGAAAAGAGTTTGGGAGTCTTTCCCCTTCTTGAATTTTTTTCTGGAATAGTTTGTGAAGAAGTTAGTTTTTCTTTGAATGTTTGATAAAATTCACCCTCGAAGCCATCCGGTCCAGGGCTTTTGTGTGCAAGGAGTTTTTGATTACTGCTTTGATTCTGCTAATTGTTATTAGCCAATTTGGGCTTTCTGCTTCATCTTGGTACAGTTTTGGAAGATTGTATGTTTCTAGAAATTTATCCATTTCACTCAGGTTGTCCAATTTCTTGGCATATTATTGTTCATATTAATTTCTTGCAAGGCAACTATTTTAAATGCTACTCAATACTCTGAGTTTAACTACTTCTCTTACAAAAACCCTACTTTCCAACTCAAATTTAACACAAAGATATAAACAATACATGTCCTTAATACCCATATATATTTTCTTTTTCCGTTGCTAATGAACTGCTTCCTTTTCCATTTCACATTGCAACTTCAGCAATAATATTTCACTTGGTTTTCCTTCTGTAATCTTCCCTACAATTTTTACCCTAAAACATACATACACAAAACCCAAACGAACAGACAAAACTCCTACAAATCAAATACCTCTAACTGGTTTTCTACACTGTAGCTTAACAGTATTTCGAAATACCAAATCTAATTGTGGCAGCAACTTGCTCTAAAACAAAAGACAAAAGACAAAAAGACAAAAGTCTAAAAGACAAAAACAAAAAACTGTACCTAGATTGCCCCAGAGAGAATGTTGAAGTCTATTGCATCATACAAGGCTTTTCTTAATCTAGCTCCTGTTCTCTACACTCTAATCATACTACGTATTGTTGGCAGCTTTCACTCCTTCAAGCCTCTATGCCTCTGTACATGCTGTTCGTTTTGCTCAAAACACCTTTCCCCATACATCCATCCCTCTGTTCTAAATGGGGACACATAAGAATCAGCATCCTGAAATCTCACTCTAGCTATTCCAGGCACATCTCAATCCTAGTACTTCTCATGCTGCACCTACTGGTTTATATGCCATAACTGCTGGCTTACTGGTCTGTATCTCCCATTGGACTCAGCTCATTGAG